GTCTGGCCAGGTACAGGAAACAGAAGTTCCTGTACCGCGCTCTGCTCCGCTACACTCTGTACACACTGACAGTCACACACTCAATGACAAACACACAGACGTCACTGACAGACACAGACTCATTGATCTGACACACACTCATTCATTGACACTGACAGACTCACACTGATTGACACTCATTGACAGACACACTGATAATCACACACAGACTCAATGACAAACATACTCTCACTGATTTGACAGACACACACTCATACACTGACAGACACACTCATACACTCACATGCACACACACTCATACAATCACTCACAGACACACACACTGTCACTCACACACACACACTGTCACTCACACACACTGTCGCTCACAGACACACACACACTGTCACTCACAGACACACACACTCTGTCACTCACAGACACACACACACTGTCACTCACAGACACACACACTGTCACTCACAGACACACACACTCTGTCACTCACAGACACACACACACTGTCACTCACAGACACACACTCTGTCACTCACAGACACACACACTGTCACTCACATACACACACTGTCACTCACAGACACACACACTCTGTCACTCACAGACACACACTCACTCACAGACATACACACACTGTCACTCACAGACACACACTGTCACTCACAGACACACACACTGTCACTCACAGACACACACACTGTCACTCACAGACACACACACACTGTCACTCACAGACACACACACACAGTCACTCACAGACACACATCACATACATTCACTAATTATTTTTATAACTACATATTTTCCACCCAGCCTCCCTACCTGGAGAGCTGGTGTGGATGATGGATCGGTCCCTGGGGCTGCTGGGCGGCGTGCGGCAGTGCTGTGATCAGGCGCGCGAGGGAGCTCTAATCTCCACCCTCTCTGCTCCCTCGCGGGCTGCCTACTGATGCTGCGGGATGACGTCATATTCCGGCTCCCGCGGCATCAGCAGACAGCGCGCGAGGGAGCAGAGGGTGGAGATTAGAGCTCCCTCGCGCGCCTGATCACAGCACTGCCGCGCCGGGGGTCGAGATGGTGGCCGGGCAGGAGGGAGAGCTTCCCTCCTGCCGGTCACTGAAATATTGCGCCCCCAGAGCCCGTGCGCCCTAAGGCAGCCGCCTGTGCCGCCTTATGGACGCGCCGGCCCTGTGTCCTACTGATTTATCCGTATAGGGCGAAGCCTGCACTTTTCAACTTTTAATTTGTTATTCAAATAACTAGTTTTTACAGAATATATGCTTTGCTGAGTGTTAAAATTTATTCATTTTGTGGGTTATGCTCTTTTATACCTTTTTTCTTGTTGTTATTGTTTTGCTTACTGTTCATATTTCTATTTTTGTTACAATCTTTTATTGGTATGTTCGTCTTCCAAATCATTAGTCCTAGTTGCACATATAAAAAAACAGTTATACTGTCCTGTTTAAGAGATACGTAATGCTGACGATTATTTATTAAGATGAATCCCCTGGTGAGTTATGTTGAAATGGATTTAAATCTCTGCTGGATTTTCCAGATTGAAACAGCTTTCCTTTGTTAATTTAGCGTTAGTGCTACAGTTTATGTGTAATTGCTCTGACCAAAGAATTTGTGTTGTCACATGTATTTTACTCATAAACCCTTGAAGCTGCTAGAAGCAAATATTGCATATGCAATATATTACTTCCCAAAATAGTTCTACTGACACAAAGTGCAATTGATTATTTTGGCACTTTATTTATTACTAAATAGGTTTTTATCTCTAACCTTAAACTCTGTACCAAAAATCTCCATATTAAAGGATCACTATAGGGTCAGGAACACAAACATGTATTCCTGACCCTATAGTGTTAAAACCACTATCTAGCCCCCCTGGGCCCCTCATGCCTCCATAAATATACCGTGTTTCCCCGAAAATAAACCCTACCCCGAAAATAAGCCCTAGTCGGATTTTCGGGGTGGGCTGCAATATAAGCCCTACCCCGAAAATAAGACCTAGGCATTGTACCTTTGCGGCGAGACTTCCTTCTTCTGCTGTAGGAGGAGCGTCGCGCAACGTGATGACGACATTTTGCAGCGCCGTCAGTCTGCCTTCACGGATCTTCAGCGGAAGGATCCATTTCCGGGCGGTGAGGCTCCCAGTGGTCGGACTCGGCAAGGAATCTTTGAAATGTGAGTACCGCTAGATATTTTATGTCTGGGATTAATTGAATTAATTAAAGGGGGTGGGGGGGTGAATTAATTAAAGGGTGGGCTGGATTAATTAGAGGGGGGTGAATTAATTAAAGGGTGGGCTGGATTAATTAGAGGGGGTGAATTAATTAAAGGGGGGTGAATTAATTAAAGGGGGGTGAATTAATTAAAGGGGACTGGATTAATTAGAGGGGGTGAATTAATTAAAGTGGTGGTGAATTAATTAAAGGGTGGGCTGGATTAATTAGAGGGGGTGAATTAATTAAAGGGGGGTGAATTAATTAAAGGGTGGACTGGATTAATTAGAGGGGGTGGATTAATTAGAGGGGGTGGATTTATTAAAGGGGGGGTGGATTAATTAAAGGGGGGGTTCAATGTACATACCGGTACCGTAAATAAATAAGCCCTACCCTGAAAATAAGCCCTAGTGAGTTTTTTGTGACTAAAATTAATATAAGACCCGGTCTTATTTTCGGAGAAACACGGTAGTAAAAAATATTACTGTATTCAAGCCTGAAGCTGTAAATCTGCATGCTGTTAGACTCAGAAAAACAAGCAGCCTGCTGACATGTGGTAGCCTGATCCAATCACAGTGCTTCCCCATAGGATTGGCTGAGACTGACAAAGAGGCAGATCAGGGGCAGAGCCAGCATGATTCAAACAAAGCCCTGGCCAATCAGCATCTCATCATAGAGATGAATTGAATCAATTAATCTCTATGAGGAAAGTTTAGTGTCTGCATGCAGAGGGAGAAGATACTGAATCACAGGATGCTGTGCACAGTGCTGCCCTGTGCTCTGCTGAAAGCAGATCTGAGTGGATTCAGGCATAGTATGCCTCCATCAACTCTGAAGTCCCTCTGGTTCACTCTGAGTGACTGCAGCTGAAGGTGTTCCTAGCTTTCAATGTAGACACTGTAGTTTCTCAGCAAATACAGTGTTTACATGAGAAAGGCTGCAGGGAGCTATAGTTCTCACCTGAACAACCTTTAAGCTGAAGTTGTTCAGGTGACTTTAGTGTCCCTTTAAGAAACCTGTGGGTCCCTGTGCAGTGTCATAATAACTTGCAGTGTTTCTAAAAAATGTACATGCAACATTGAGTGAACAGGTAGTGAAATGTCAAACTGTTGAAGATACTTTCTGCTATATACAAAGTGGTACCTTCACAAGAGTCCAGCACACAGCCATAACAAACAAGGCAGCCCCTTTAATAATACACTCCAGTAATCAACCAATTCCTAGTCGCCAATGGAGGACAGGATGAGGATAGCTATTCTGTGTACATCCTTCTATATTGGTGTGTGTCTTCCAAGGGTTTTGAAGCTCTGTGTACAGACATTTTTTATATATTTTTTTAATAATGACTTGTTTCAGTAAACAGTATATCATGATAACCAAAAGTACGAGATGTAAAATCTGGCAAATATCATCACATGGTACATTAAATTAATAAGAAAAGTGCCTAAAATAGGTTTTTCTTTTAAGTGTAAGATAATGTATAGACTAGCTGAAACTGATTAGTAGACAACCACTAAAGAAGCTTCTAGTTCAGCATTATAGAATAGCCATGAAGAAAACAAAATAATATAAAAGAGCAGAAAATAATATAGACAAACCAACATAGAATAACTTGTGCTGGAAGACTCCTTGCATTGTCCTTCTACAATCTACACCAATAAATAAGCCAGTGAGAAGGCCCATGGTGCATCCTGAAACGTGGCAGTGGTGTATGCTGTAAAACCTCCAAAGGTTAGGCGGGGCACAATAGAAGAGTTCTGGAAGGCTCACGGCCTAGGTAACTAGAGAAGAATATTGGAGTCTTTAGGTGTCATAGCCTGTTTCTCCTGTTTGAAATTTACTAAAGGAGACTGAGCATATGGGTAACTCATAGTCCATTGATGCAATTTAGTAAAAGACCTGGAGCAAATGGAGATGAAGACAGCAACTTTTGGGTACTGCAAGTCCCTTGTCTGTGGAGGGTAGTTAGTGGCCATCTTGATTGTTTGCTGATATACTGGTGAGGCCATCTTACACAAACTTTTCAAAGCAGAGGGAACTGAGCTGCTCCAGGGAGGAAAATAATAACTCCCTCTAGCCCCAATGTGGTGGGATAATGGACAGGGGTGGTATACTTCAGCAAACGTGTGCTTCAATAGAAGGAAGTGGCTGTGAGCATAAGAGCTGCAGTGGGACAACAACAGGGGTAATATGCATACCAAAATCACTGGCATTTTGTATAGTAGAGGACCCCAGCAAGGAGACAACTCTTTACATATAAAGCATTTTAGAAAGCTAAAGTGTCCCTTTCAGGTATAAAAGCCAAACTGGAAAAAGTCTTAGTCATCTATGTTTTCAATTTGGCTAATTTGGCTAATCTGGCCTTAAATTGTAATTCACTTTGATTTCTCACTTTAGTAAATAATACTGACAGTATAATGTCTGTTTTGTTATTTTGTGTTTACATTTTATCTGTCTGGGTTTCAAACAATTTGTCATACCATACAGTGAACATTGCCAAGTATAGTTAATCAGATTTGTTAGTGTATGAGTGCCATTGTAATCAACATCTGGTTTTAAACCATCTGCAGAATAAATTCCATAAACAAGATTAATTTCTTGTTTTAGCGAGAGAGTTCCAAACATGTCATATATAAAGAAAACAATACTCAAATTTTACATCTAAAAATGGGACAGCTACATTCCTAAAACTAATCCCTAGTAGTTTATATTGCAAATAGGATGATAAAATATTTTAATCATACTGTCTCTTTTATTGTTTATACACCCATCTAGTTACTGGACGATCCTTTTGACCTAAAATTGCCAGCAGAAAAGGCTGATCTTACTACTCTGGAATCCCATTGCTGTTCAGTAGATACCACTGGCACTACACCCAAAGGTGAGGATTATCTCTGTTACAGAATATGTTGGAAGGACTCTATATTTAATTCCCAAACATAAGTAGAGTTTGTGAGCCTCATATTCCCTGAGCATGCAAAAATGCTTGCACACTCCTGTATGAAAGATCGATCCATGAATACAGGGCTGCCACATTCAGTTCAGGAATTCAGTGATAGACTGACAGAAATCAAAATTCAGAGTTTCTACAAAACAGGGACACCATGAAAATAAGGGCAGATGTACTTCGACTGACTTGAATAGGAAGACTGTTACTTGAAGAGAAAAATTCTAAAACCAAATAATTTTTTAGCATAATTTAACACTTGCCTACTTTCCAGGAAGAAGCGATTCTAAAGACCTTCTGAAGTGTTGGTTGGTCAGTGGTGAGGGCTCCTCACCAACTTTATTTTCAGATGGAGAGTGGAGTGATGATGATTCAGAAAAAGCAGAGGAACTCCAAGAAGCAATGAAATGCATAGGACCTTTAGGACATACACCCACTGACTCACAAGTAAGACATGAAATGCTGGAATAACCTTTCTTAGTTAACATTACATTAATTAGATTGCAATATAAAATGTTATTCAGTAGATGGTGAAGAAGATTTCAGATTAACAGTTAAAATCTAACAGTACCCTAGCAGAACAATGAAACAAACATTTGTAATGTAGGAGCCATGCTGTCAATAACTACAGATATTACAATACTTCAATCATATTACTTAAAGGACCACTATAGGCACCCTCGCCTGGGGCTAGAGAGTAAGTATGCTGTAATAAGTGGAAAGGAATTAAACCACCCTTAGCTGACTAATACCACGTCTCCACTGCTCAGGTCCAAATCTCTTACATTATTTTCCAACAGGTTCAATGGAGAAGATGAAGTAATTCCATTTATTTGGTTTCCTTACGGTTCTAACCGTGTTCAGAGCCTCCTTTATAATAGGATTTTTTGTAATTTTATCTAATAGGCATCTCCTGTCTATCCAGAAACAGTTGTAAAGAAAGTCGGCTCTAAACTCTTGGGTTTCAATTCCTTTCCATAAGTTATTATTATTGTTGTTTTTATCCCAAGCTAATAATGAGATCGCATACAAGCTTCGTGAATCCTAGGCCTCCATTTCCTTATTTTTTTAAAAAAAATTCTGAGAAATTCTCGGATTCTTACTGGCCCAACTAAACTTAGTAATGGCTACTTGAAAACATCTCAGGGTTTTATAGCTAGTAGAAACATTAGTTTTGGGAGTAAGTAAGCTTTTGTGGATTCTATTCTACCCAACCAAGATAATTCCAGCCTGTTCCATTTCTTGATCTATAAGCTAAAATCCTCTAGGAGCTTTGAGTAGATTCTATTAATCAGGTCTTCAAATTAATCTACGGTCCAAGTTAAACTCATAGCAGTCCCTAAAATGGTTCTTCTCTGAGATATGAAGCCCAAAGGTCAATATCTGTATCTTAATTATATTGATTTTAAAATTGGAGTATTCACCGTATTCCATCATCAATTTCAATGCTGCTGGTATAGACTCAAAAGGGGTTGTCAGCAAATAGAATGATCTTGTGCTCCGTTTGTCCGACCCAAATACCCTGTACTTACTCTGCGCGGACCGGGGCCGCAACACATGGCCGCGGGCACCTGGGCGCAGGGCTGCGACCGCGGTATGTACGCCAGTGCAGCAGACACACACACACACACACTTAAAGGACCACTACAGACACCTAGATCACATCAGCTCAATGAAGTGGTCTCGGTGCCAGGTCCCTCTAGTTTTAACCCTGCAGCTGAAAACATAGCAGTTTCTGAGAAACTGCTATGTTTCACTGAGGGTTAATCCAGCCTCTAGTGGCTGTCTCACTGACAGCCGCTAGAGGCGCTTCCGCGATTCTCACTGTGGGTGGTTTGAATGCGTGTGCTCTTGCCGCGCATGCACATTCGGAGCTGAGAGGCGGATCGGGGCGGAGGGATCCCCAGCGCCAAGGGAGTCCGGCGCTGGAAAAAGGTAAGTGCTAAGGGGTTTTAAACAAACTCTCACAAACAGATGCATACACACTAGCTAACAGACACACACATTTACTGACAGAGATACACTCAGCGACATACATACATAGACACTCACTGACAGACACACACCTACACACTCACTTACAAAACATACACTCTCACTGACAAACACACACTCACTAACAGACACACACAAACTAACATGTTCAGTAACAGACACACACAGTAACACACTCACTGACACAAACTAACACACACACTGACACTCACTAGCAGACATACACACAGTAACACACAAACTGACACAAAAACTAACACTAACACACATACACGTTTTTTTTTTAAAATGTGATCCCACAGCCTCCCAACCTTTGGGAATGCTGAGGGGATTCCCTGGTGTCCAGTGGTGTTGCTGGGCGGCCGGGCCTGCAGGCGATCCTCCTTTTCAGCTCAGATGTCATATTCCGGCTCCGGCATTAGTGTGGTGCGCGCAAGGGAGCTGGGCAGAGAGTGCTCAGGGGAGAGTGCTCCCTCACGCATACGCAAGACCGGCCGCCTGGTGACAAATGCCTTTTCTGTATCTATGGCCAAAAAGGCGGCTTTAGAGTCTTTTAAATTCATTCTGTGGATTAGATTCAGGACTCTACGGATGTTATCAGTGGCTCCTCTGTCTCTAACGAATCCTGCCTGGTCACCGTGTATTAGTGAGGGAATTATATCATTAAGTCGATTTAGATAAGACCTTTGAGTAGATCTTGATATACAAATTAATCAGAGAAATGGGCCTAAAGTTTGAGGTTTTAGGTGGGATATTTGCCTTCTTTAGGTATGGGGAGAATAGAGGCCTGAAGATATTCCTCAGGAATATGTTTCTGTTTAGGGAGAATGGAAAATACCCTCAGCAGTACTGGGATCACTATATCTTGAAACTTTTGATAAAAAAGTGATGTAAAGCCACCTGGTCCCGGAGCTTTATTTGGTTTAAGAGTTGCAATTACTTCACTGATCTCCCTGGAGGAAATTGGCCTATTTAAAGTATCCAATTCCTCCTTAGTTATCTTGGGAAGTTTAACTTTAGACAAAAAAAGATTTGATTTGTTGAGTGGTTTTCCTATTTGAGCCTTAATTATATAAATTAAAATAATAATCTCGGAAGGCTTTAGAGATACTTTGTGGTGATAAGTATGTATGACTGACAACAATAATTTTAAAAAATATTTCTGATTTGCCAATTCTGTTATTGCTGTAATACCATTTCTGTTTAACTTTTTTTGTAACTTTGTTTTAATGGAGGAGCCCAATTTAATAAGGAGTCCTCTCATTATAAACTTGAAGGACACCCAAAGGGTCCATTCCGAGACCTCCCTGTTGTCATTTAGTTGTAAGGTCCTTTGAGCTTCCTCAAACAGTGAGTCAAAGTTCTCATCCACCTTCAGAAGGTTTAACTGACTGTTCACTTGCTGCCTAACATACCCCACTACTTAACAGGTGCCATTGTAATGATATAATCAATGTTATTCACTTCACCTGCCAGTGGTTCTAATGTTGCAGCTGATCAGTTTATGTATAAGTACAGAACTAAGAATGAAGTGATAAAGGTTTTTATCACTGCATTGTCTGGTTGATACCAGGGACTGCTGGGATAGCTATATTATTTTGTTCCATTATAATTACATACATAAATACATCAGACACTTGGTTACAATAGTGTTAAAATGGTAAGTATAAATATCTAACATGTTTTTACGAGTTTGATTGCTGTGCTTAAGTTTATTCCTTAGTGATTGATAAAACACTCTACATGTCTTTATATGTTGAAAGTTTTATAAAATTTCTCACCGGATAGACAGTCCATTGGATATATTCTATTATTATTATTATATCAAAACCAATGATCTTCCCACTAACATTTGTAAGGGGGTTAATTATTCCTAAAATAAATACTAATCAGGGGATTATCTTTCTTATTATCCAGCAAGCTCAGACTGACCTGCAACATATTCGCGGCACTTGGGGAGAGCAGTCATGAGGGAGGCTCCAAACTATCGCTCCCGCGAGCTCTGCTGTAATGAGCATTGCCGCGGATTACCACTTCAACGCTCTGACACAGAACAGTGCTGGGCAGATATTGCGAGAACAAGGATCACGGCATGCACCCAACACACACACACACAGCACATCCCTGACACACACAGCACATCCTTGACACTCTCAGCACATCCCTGACACACACAGCACATCCTTGACACTCTCAGCACATTCCTAACACACACAGCATATCCTTGACATTTAGTCTATCCCTGACACACAGCACATCCCTGCCATGCACAGTACATCCCATATACACTCTATGGATCCTTTACACACACACTAGATCCCCTACAGACACACACTGCAAAACCTACACACACAGTACATCCCTGACACACCACAGTACATCACTGACATACAGAATATATTCCATATACACACTAGGGATCCCTTGTGTATGCACCACCTACACACACACACTCTCTCTACAAATACGCAATACCAAAATTATCTACCAAATGCATGCATGCACAGTACTCTCTCCTGGCCTCTTTGTTCTCTTGTAGCCCACTTTTGGAGACCAAAGATAAGTCACAAGCAAACATGTAACTTTGCTTTACATAGGACCTTTGTCCCGTGCATGAGCTATTTAGCAGTGCTCTGGGCTGCCCTGTTATATTTTCTTTTTTAACTATGGTCTCCCCTGACTACAATGGGATTAGTCCCAACTTGATTTTTCTGCTGACATCTTATTGTGGTTATCCCTTTATTATTCTCATGTCGATTTATTTTCTCTGCTTTTTCTATTGCTGAAGTCACATACATCAGGTGACTCAGTCTACTGTTTTTGTTGTATTGTATTTATTTTCTCAAATGTGAATTCTGTGTATTTGTACATTGTTTGTCATGTGATTCACACATATAATAATAAAGAAAAAAAATACAACTCTATTTTTCTTAAACATTTCTATATGAGTATCACGGCTGCTAGTGTGGTCCAACACGCAGATACTACAAAAGGAAAGGAAATAAAAGGACAGAGCGTAAACTGGACCTTAGAATGGCCGGACTAATAGAGATATAGAATGGTCAAAGGGAAAGCCGAGGTCACGGAGCCAGAAATACTCAGATACCGTTTAAACAAGCCAAGTCAGGGGAACCAGAATTCGGAAAAGCCAAGATCAGGATACCAGGAAGTAATATTTACAAAGATAAACGCAATCTAGGGAACCAGGAACAGGAAACCACGAAGGGGCAAGGTACTTGGGTGAATTAGGGATTTAAATATCCCTCTCTAGGCTCTGATTGGTCAGAGGTTGACCTCTGACCCCAGAATGTCTGCGTGCGTTGACGTCCTGACGTCACGCGCACGTTCGTATAATTTTGGTGGGTGGAGCCATGGATGGACACGACCTCATGGTCGGCGCCATCTTGGATTTCCCAGAGCGGCGTGGTGGAACCGTTCCAGTACGGTCAGGC